GAGGGGAAAAGTGTGACCCCCCCCCACCTCCCGGGGGTTACACTTGCCCCAGCTCCAGCTCCTGCTGCACTTTGGAGCAAGAGGGGGAGTGCTGGGCCCTGCAGCTGTGATGCAGCAGCAGACAACGCTGCCTGGGGAGAGGGACCCCGCCCCTAGCGAGAGGGCAGCTCCTGAAGCCGAGGGACGGGGGCTCAGCTGGGGAGGAGGCAGTTGGAAAGAGGTTCGGAAAGAAGGAGGTAACAAGAGGTGGGCTCTGCTAGAGGAAGCCGAGCTGTGTGGAGCACCCGGCAGAGAGGGGCAGAAAGCGTATGACAGGCCAGGCTGCCCCTTGGGACTCAGAGGAAATCCAGTCTGGCTCCCTGGCTACAGGGGTGAACCCCTCTGAAAGGGGGCTGGGCGGAGCAGCCGTGCACAAAAGGAGCAATAAGGCCCAGAGGGGAAGCTAGACTCTGCAGCCGGGCGGATCTTCTCGCTGTGCCGGAGACGGATTTCTTTTATTATTATGGTCACCGGCACTTTATTTTGTTCCTTAACAAATAAGGCTCTGCAGCCAGGGAGGTTGAGGTCGGACATGAGGAAAATCTTCCCACCTGTCCGGGGGGTGAAACGCTGGAATCAGTTGCCTGGGGAGGTCGTGGAATCTCCCTCCCTGGAGATATTTAAGAGCAGAGTGGACAGACGCCTGCCAGGGATGATCTAGACGGTGCTGGGTCCTGCCATGAGGGCGGGGGACTGGACTTGACGTCTCAAGGTCCCTTCCCCTCCTAGGATTCTTCCCTGGCTGCAGCCGTGCGGTGGGACACCATCCTGGGACTGCTCCAGCTCTGGGCTAGCTGGTGCAGCCGAGGCGTGGCTCAGCTGGCTGACTGGGTTTGGTCTGGGGCGGCAGTGACATGGGCAGGGGGTGCATAGAGCAGAGGCCAGGGATGAACTGGAGATGCCCTGTGCACTGAGAGACCTCTCACCCCTCCTGGAAATCCGCTGAATCCTGTCTCAGGCCCGGCTCCGGCCTATGCCTGGTTGGACGGCAGCAGGTGGGGGCAGTGAGAGTGGCTCAGCTGGCTGACTGGGTTTGGTCTGGGGCGGCAGTGACATGGGCAGGGGGTGCATAGAGCAGAGGCCAGGGATGAACTGGAGATGCCCTGTGCACTGAGAGACCTCTCACCCCTCCTGGAAATCCGCTGAATCCTGTCTCAGGCCCGGCTCCGGCCTATGCCTGGTTGGACGGCAGCAGGTGGGGGCAGTGAGAGCCCAAGCCACACTCCGGTTACACCCTGGGAAGAGCAAAAGCAACCCCCCCACCCCCCGCCGGGCC